TCAGCAGTTATATGTCCTAAGCAAATTGTCTACTGACTTTCTCTTAAGCAATTAAACTAGAAAATAATATTTTTATTAAGTATAAAGCTAGATTTATTAAAAGTAATATGTACTAAACCACTACTTCACTGATAATTAAATTAGTACAATGTAATTTTTCTTTACTTTGCCTCAATGTGTTTTTTATTAAAGTGAAAAACTAGTAATTTATTAAAAGTATATTAGCCTAAATCCATTACATCAAACTAACTACTTGTTATTTAAATAATTGTTGGAAAGAAAAGTGGTCCCACTGCTTTCTTTTATTAAGTGAATATACTTTAAATATCCTGCATCAAATAGAAGCAAGTTCTTTTTATTCCTTTTTTTTCTTTTTGGGTCACACCCAGTGATGCACAGAGGTTACTCCTGACTCTGCACTCATGAATCACCCCTGGCAGTGCTCAGGGGACCATATAGGATGCTGGGAATCGAATCCGGGTTGGCCATGTGCAAGGCAAATGCCCTACCCGCTGTGCTATTGCTCCAGACCCTAGAAGTGAGTTCTTATTCTTCAGTTTTTGCAAATGTAGTCATTGCAAGTAAAAAAAAAAAAAAAAAAACAGGATCACTAGTTCCTTCCTAATCCTCATTATTTGGCATTGATAAAAATTAAAATTAAAGAAACAAACCTCAAAAATTATAAAGTCCATTTCTGTGCAATAACTTATTCAACTGCTTTCAAATTTTGCCTTGCAGCTATTTTTTTTTTTTTGGTGGTGGGGTGAATGGGAGACAATGGGCCACAGCCTACTGTGCTCAGGGCTTACTCCTGAGTCTGTGCTCAGGGATCACTCCTGGAGGTACTTGGGGAACCATATGTGGTGCTGGAGATCAAATGTTGGTCAGCCCCATGCAAAGTCAGTGACTGTATTATCTGTAAGCCTATTATTATCTCTTCAGGCCTTCTGCGTAAAGGATTTTCAATAAACAATTTAAAAACTTTACCAAGAACCTAACAAGTATGCTGAATTTTTTTGTTCTACTGACAAGATCAATTTAAAAATATATGCTTAGGCTGGAGCAATAGCACAGTGGGTAAGGTGCTTGCTTCACACATGCCTGATCCATTTTGATCCCCAGCATCACATCAGTCCTTCCAGGAGTGATTCCCGAGCACAGAGCCAAAAGTGTGTGCCCTGAGCACCACTGGATGTGGCCCAAATAACCAAAACAAACAAACAAACAAAACTTAAAAACCATCCCAAACATATGTGCTTGAATTTGTTTCATCTTTAAATATTCTCAATGTAAGATGTTAAGAACTGGAATGAAAACAATCTATTAAAACTGGGTAACTACTATTATATTACCAAATTGGGTATTATATTCCCAAAATATAATAATCTTTAATAATTTTCATCATAAAGTAGTTCATGTAATTTCTGCTTATACTGTTCATATTAAATATTTTCTTTCACGTATTATTAAAACAAATTAGTGAAAATTATTTACTAGTGTAAAACAACAAGGTTTGTAAATACAGGTTTCAAACTCAGATTTGGGAGGATGAGGATGAGGATGAAATTTTGCTAAAGGACTTAATTTTTCCTTTTTATTTATAAAACCCAATAAACCTCACTTTAAAAATTTGCAGACATATGCTTCTTGGTAGGTTAAAATTAATGAAATGCGTTCAAATGGTAAACTCCAAAGCTTTAAGTTCCTTTTTTTTTCTTTTTTGGGTCACACCCAGCGATGCACAAGGGTTTCTCCTGGCTTTGCACTCAAGAATTACTCCTAGCGGTGCTCGAGGGACTATATGAGATGGTAGGAATCGAACCCAGGTTTGCCGGGTACAAGGCAAACACCCTACCCGCTGTACTATTATGCCAGCCCAGAGTTTTAAGTTCGTATGCTATTGAGATTTTTAGCAAAATCTAGGTTTTTAATATAATAATTCCTCAAACTTACAATATCAAATTTGAATTCTTCTCTACATGTATAAGCTACACGTACAGCAAACAGTTTCTAATCACAGTCATTCATGGATTTGCTCGACAGGCCCAGTAACGTCTCCATTGTGACACTTGTTACTGTGTTTGTCATATCAAACACTTCACGGGTAGCTTGCCAGGCTTTGCCGTGCGGGTGAGATACTCTCGGTAGCTTGCCGGGCTCTCCGAGAGGGGTGGAGGAATCAAACTTGGGTCAGCCATATTGGCTGCATGCAAGGCAGATGCCCTACCGCTGTGCTATCGTTCCAGCCCTTCTAATTATTATAAAACTGAAATTTTAAGCACTGATTTGATCCCAGTTCAAGCTACCGCATTGTGTATAATCTCCTGAGACCTGCCAGGGGTGATCCCTGAGTACAGAGTAACGAATAAAACCTGACCACTGGCAGGTGTGACCCAAAAAAAAAACCAAAATGCAAACCAAAAATCCCTGAAATGATAGAAAAATTTAAAATTTACTTATAGAAAATAACGAAAACAAATGCATAGTTCTCCATCGTCACAAACTGGTGGACTTTGTTACTGACTCACTCTCACATAATTTATTTTTCTCAGCAATCTTTGTTAAAATGCTTCTGATATTGTTTCTTAGGTTTCTGATTAACAATAAGAATGCAAGTAAATGAAAACAGACAAAAGTTCTCAAAACCCTATGACTAAACAATATAGTCATCACTGGGGCCTGAGGTCACATCTTAAGTAACTGCATTGCCTCACTTGTCTTATATTTCAAACACTCTCTGTGATAAGTAGATTCATCATTTTTTTGCACATGACCTGAGATTTAGAAAGTGAAAATTCTGTCATAATATACTTTTAAATAATCTTAGAAGGTGAGCTAGAAAGAGAGCTCCCTAGCTGAGTGCAGACAAGCTTTGCAAGCAAACACCCCAAAAGGAACCCCATGGTTCCCCAGAGCCTCACCAGAATGATCCCAAGCACAGAGCTGAAAGAAATCCCTGGGTGTGACCCCAAAACAAAACAAAATAAAAACTGATTACCGCACAGCAACTTAGAAGAGGCATTTGTCTGGACTGTGTGATATATATGCCACAAAAGGTAAATGAAAACCTGATTAGTAGAGTCCGCTGGTTTAATTTCTTACAGAAAACAAAGAACTCATGATGAAATCCCCCACCCACCAGTCTAATGTAACCCATAGTGTCCTAGGGTAAGGCAGCATTACTGCGACTATAGTAGCTCATGTTCCTTCATAGTCAGATTCAATCTAGACAACAAGCCATGACAGAGTTAGCTCACAAGTCAGCTAAGAAGGCAAGCAGACATATTACTTTCCTGCAATACTACCATCATTATCACTGTTCTTTCAGGAAAATAGATTTTAAAATATATACAAAATGTGAACACTGAGATTTTTCTACTTACCACTGAATGGGAAATTTTAAAAGAAAAATAAGATTCAGCTTAACGCACGGCTACTCCTCTGCTCGGGAGTTCTTAAAAATAATTTATGTAAAGCAGCCTTTTCTCTAAATTTACTGTTCTCTCCCGTATACACATTGAAAATGGTATTTGCATACAGCGAGTGTATGCACTGATACACACATGGCAAAAAGTTAAAAAATATGGACTGCATAAATCAGTAGCTGATTTTAAATACATACCAACTTAAACAGATTTGTTTGCAATTTTTGAATTCCTCAGGTAGAAGAGATCTTTCTTGCTGGCTGTGACTCTAGAAGATGTTTATACTTCATAGCAAGTGCAAAAATGCCTCCCCATATAAACAAAGAAAGAAATGTTCCAGGGTCTTGGTATTCTAACCTTGCCTTTGCTATTAAATATCCACCCCAAGAATGTGATGGAGATCAGCAAAATCAGTCTGTCATGCTACAGTAAACACGGTATTTTGTGCGCTGCCCAAGACATTTCTCCTCATGAATATAAGTTGCCTGCCATTTATTATGAGATTTTTCCCCCGATTGACACCCCATTATGTATATTCAGTCAAGCTCAAACAAGATTTGAAGTGATCAATATACTATTTGTGCTGAAAGTCTATTAGCAGTTCTAGCAATAAACTCTGCAGAGGAACAAAACAGAGATATTTAGTGAACCGAATTACATAGAAATCCATTTTGGGAAAGGAGATAGAGGCAGGAAGGCTGAAAAACCAGGGGGAGAGAAGGTAAGACAGATGTGTCTTCTAATTAACACTTTTTTCTTGCATTCTGAAGTCTGACCGCTGATGAGATGTATTCAATGCTTAAACATTTTAAACATAACTCTCTTAAATTACAGGTCTCTAGAAGAGTAAGGAGGAGTCTAAACCAGCACAGGGTCCTTTTCTGAAACTAGAAATTCCCTCTCTAAAGAGCTATACATGGAAGTACTGGATATCTAGAAACTGAAGCTATTCCCCAGGAAAGTTGAGAAATCAATCCCAGCTTGCTTTGGGAGAAATAGCAATGGCCTCCTGCATATTTTAACACTTTTCCATTTTATAACTGAATGTACCTGATCCCTTGCAGCATGACCTTCATCAGCTGAGCTAAGGAAGCATTTGGGTGTGTGAATGTGGTCACAAAGTAGCTCAAGAGATAGCAGCCACAGGATTTCAGATAGTGTGAAAGAACTTTGCTCTGCAAGCTGGCTGTGTCTACATATTGGAATCTGTTTGATCTGGGGTATTAGGGTAGGCAGAGCTGCCCAGAAAAATGTGACATCTGCAGAAGTGTCAATTCAGCATTACCCAACGCCCAAGGATTCATATTTACTGCCGTGGAAAAGAATGTGGTAGAGAGGGGTAGAGAATAATCCAGCCAATCCAGGCTGTGATGGCGACCTTGGGGCTTAACACTTCGCAGTCATAAGCACTGGTCCAGTTAGACAGCCAGTCCCTCCAACCCAAAGGGCTGTATTTTGAACCTCCTTCCAGACTCATTTCTGAGGCTTGAGTCTCAGCTGGGGAAAACTGGGAGGAACTGCTGTGCATAAGCTCTCGAATGATCAATATCTGATTATTTGGTTTGCTGAACTTACATTTTGAACCACTCTCAGGCAGAAGAGCGAAGTCACCATGCGTTGATCAGAGGAATACCTGCAATGCCAAAATATTTAAATTATGAACACTCCAGGTAGTTTCCAAATTCCATGAGTTAGCAAAGAAGATGTCCGGTGGTTTGACCAAAGGAGATGCCGCCTGAGTCACTTATAAACAAAGGCTCTGTCTCCTGATATTTTTTGTCCTAAGACCTACAGTACGAGTACTTTTACACTGACATCACGGAATATATGCTTATAATATGAACAACGGTATTTGTTCACTGCCTCTTCTTGTTGTTCCTAAAGACAAAGACAGCCGCACACAGTGGAATCAGAGCCCAGCGCCCACCAGGAAAGAAAGAAGAACCCTCCCATTATCCCCACTTGCCTCCAAATAACAGAATAGCCCCAAAATAGCAATCTAGTTTGTGTAGGACGCATGTGTATGTGGCAAAATGAACACACCAAGTAGATTCTTAACTCTGTAGAGAGATAAATATGCAAACATTAAATTTTAACAGAGCAGCAATTTCCAAATGGTTTTTAAATGCAATTTCATACTTTCCCAACCCAATAATCATATCCCACAATATATGCACAGATTATTCTTAAATTCTAAAAGTAAATGATATCATCAATATCACTGATCTTACAATTCCCTGTAATTTAGTGGATTAGCAAAATGTCAGGTTTTTTTTAAAAAAATCAATTTTCTTGCAAAATACAAAATCTGGCATCCAAAAAGGAAAAAAAAATTAGAGATTCTTAGCGGTCAACCAACTCTAAAAGAAGTCAGAAATCAGGGATTCTCCATATTGAAAGGCTTGTGAGTGTCCCCCAAATTTCCAGGATTCATAAATACCACCTCCCAAGGTGAAAAAAAATTTTTTTCTTTCTTTCTTTCTTTCTTTCTTTCTTTCTTTCTTTCTTTCTTTCTTTCTTTCTTTTGACAGACCAATGCAGCCCAGGTGTTTATTTACCCAGCACATTCACTTCACCAGGAGGTGGTTGTTCTGGAATGCTCCTCATATAATGATGTGTACATATTTACTTGTTCAACTCAAGGAGGTACTGTTCTGGAACCTTCTTACATTATAATTAATGGTGCAAGGGGGCAGAGCTTGCACTTTTGCCTGACTAGAATCACAGCAAATCTTCAGGAAAGACCATCTTTGAAATCAGGCTGCTAGAGCTCCACCATCTAAGCAAAACGCCAGAGATAGTGGAGGCCTGAAGAAACCCCAGAAATCTATTTCAATTTAGAATAGCCTGCAATTGCAGGTAATTTACCTGATTGTATTCCTGGCTCAAATCTCAAAGGCTCCTAAAATGCTAGGATTTATAGGTATAGATTACAGATTTAAAAGAAAGCAAAGGTGGTAAAAGGATAAAAAGATTTAAAAAAGCAGAAAGGTTTGAACCTATAGTTCATGCCTCACTTCAGATTGTAATAACTGTTGCACCTCGATGACCGGGTCACCACACCCAGATTTAGAAATGCTTTCATTCCCTCTGGCCATTAGAGGAAAGTATCATTGTCTCTTTAAATGATTTATTTTGCCTTATGAAATGAATGGTAATATCAAGTGCTTGTCCTTCTGTAACATTTGGTTGTGTACTTAAAAAATTAAGTACCTTGGGTATCCCATGGGCAGACCCACTGTCTGCAGGAGACGATGCGGCAAAGCATGGTTCCAATAATAATGAACTGGGAGTTTATAGAGAGTGCCCCTACTGAGCAGATCGAGACCATTCCTTCCCCACAGGTTTGCAATGAGATCAGAAATCTCCTTGCCTGTGGCAGAAATGACCTTCCTCCAATTTGAGGTGGCATGATGGGGTTCTGATGGAAGGACCAAGCAGTGCAAGGCAAACTCATTCATCTGTTTCCTGCTCCGCTGAGCCATCTCTGTTCTGAGACACCGGCACTCGCCTATTCCGCAAGAAGGTTTATTGCCTGAAAATAAACTCCTTCTTTCTAAAAAACTTACTTTTATAAAGAAAGAATTTTATTCAGAATACCAAAGTAAAAATAGATAAATAAATAATAAAACAACCCACAACATAAAATCCAAACTCCTTGGTTTGCTTCATTGTATGCTCTGATATTTATCCTCCCGATCCTTGTCTTTTAGCCCCAGGATCTTAAAATATGGAAGCAAGTCCCACTTCATTTCCCCTTTCTATCAACATCAACCTCTCAAAGTTAAATCGCCATTTTAACAAGCTGACAGGTAAAGCGGACGAGTATTGTGCTGCTTAAGACCTACCTACAGATGAAAGCTTATCTTCCAATAATTTAGTCATGATTTAAATAATCATAAACCCAAGCCTAGAAATGGCCTCGCTCTGCACCACTGCAATTGTCGAATTCCTGGCCTTTCATGCAGATGCTCAGAAACAGGGTGGGGCTCCCGGTCTGGGTCTTGCATGCAATGTAAGTCCATGCTGCAAAGGAAACTCAATGACTCCTTCATTTTCCAGCTTCTCAGTCTCCTTCACAAACACCTTTGAAATAATGGTGTTGTTCCAAGGGCCTCTATTTCTAATGCTCAGATTTCGATGCCAATCTTTGTGTCAGACCAAATGCTCTGTGCACAAGCATGGATGACAGGTATTGAAATGAAGGTGACAAGTCAAGGAACCAGTGGAGGAAAATTCCCTGTAGAAGAACTGTGAGGAGAAAACCTTCTCTGTTTTATGGATGTCTCTGGTGAAGCTTTTTTTTCTGTGTCTCTCTCTTACTCTGGTTTTTTTTTTTTTTATTTCTCAACAGATTCAGTTCTCTGAGTCCACAAGTAAAACCCAACCCTGGTAAGCCATGCCGGCTGCCTTATGAGTCAGCAGAGGCAGCTGAACTGTTCAGACAGTGCAGAGCAGAGTAAATGGGCAGGAGCTGCTGATGGACACACCCATCTTACTAACCCTGACTGATTAAAAAAAAAAAAACCATCTCTAAGCTACTTCACATCTGATCTCCAGTTTTGCATCAAAAACTGCAGCCCTCCACTTCCCCCACCTACTCCTGTAGCTCCAATATACTCCCCTCCATCCCTCAGAGTGCAATTGGATTAAGGCTCCTTTCTTCAACGGGGCAACTCCTGTTTCTTTTTCTCCCCAGTCTGCGTGTTATCAGCTTGACATTCCCTTTACTGGCATATGACAAATCAAATTGGCTGTCATTGCACTCATCAAATGAGGATGCTCTATTTCCGAGGACGTTTCCTCCACTCCCTTTACAATCATGGACACAGAAAACAAATGTCTTAGGGGCTTTTCTTTTTCTTTTTAAAGGGGGAAGACTCTTTAAAATGATATAATGGATACAACAGCCAGGAAAGAAAATCATCCAAGTGCCAGTAAGGCAACTGCACAACTCAAAATATGATATTAAATAACTGGTGGCTACTTCTTAAACGTAAAGCATCCATATTCCCAAAAACTTTATAAAAAAAATTATTTCCCACATTTTTTCGCATGATTCAGCACTTTTAAATAGTAATTTCTAACAAGAAGTTAAAAGACAAAAGGAATATTTTCTGGATGCCTTGAACCCACACACACACTTTTAGTGAGCCACTGCAGGCTCTATCGGAAACGGGGCTGCGGGTGTCACTGGTTTGCTGCTGCAACAATCAGTAGCCCCCCACCCCCAAGCAGCGCATTTTCCCTCTCTGGCGGCATCTAAGTAGCTTTGGGGGACGGAATCACCACTTGCCGCAGAAGGCTTTGCTGGGGTACACGTACGTACACACACACACACGCACACACACACACACACATACACACACACACACACACACACTGGGTTATACGCTCCCACTTGAAGTGTCTTTTCAACCTTTGTCAAAATATCCCAAGACCAAAATTTTCCGCCCCCCCCATCCCCAATCGAGGCTTACGTGGGAACCCCCTAAACTGCACGACCAGCAGTAAATAAATAAAAGCAGCCGAGCTGGTGCAGCCGCCCCTGGGCACGCTCTGAAAACTTAACCTGCGCTTCGCACGGACCCGCGTCCGCATCCCAGGACCCGTAGGTGCCGGGCACTGTCCCCGCGGCATCCCATGCCCGCACTGTCCGTCCACTTACCTGCGGGCCGGCGCGCGCCCGCGCTCCAGCCTCGCACCGGCACCTGGCCGGGGAGCCACCGCGCCGGAGCGCCTTCGGGGGCGGCGGGGACCGCGGCTGCCCGGCTCGGGGCCGGGCGGCGGGACGCCGGGACGAGGAGCAGGAGGAGGTGGAGCAGGAGGAGCGCGCCCGGGCGGGTCCGCGCCGAGCCCGAGCGAGCGGGCGAGCCGGGCGGGAGGGGCCATTTGTAAGCGAGCAGACGCTACCACCGCCCCTTACTCGCGGGGGCCGGGGGGGCGGGCAGGTGACGCGGCCCACCCTCCGCCGCCGAGCCGGGTGGTTCCTGCCCGGGAGGAGCCCCCTGGCGCGCTCTGATTGGAACTCCCGCCGCAGTGGCGGGGGAGGGGGGCACGTGACAGCCGGGCCCAGCTGCCCGGCGCGCCCCACCCCCGCTGGGCACCCCATCTTCCTCCCGGAAAAGCCGGGGGACACAGGGAAGGCGGGGGGTGTGGGGAGTGCGGGGAGGAGCACTCGGGGTGCAGAAGAGCTTTACCAGCGCCTTTAGCCGCTGCAGCGGGTGCTCCTGGCGCTGCAGCTGGCAAGGCCGGGTTCCCTGCGGCCATCGGCCTGCACTGTCCTCCCGCCCTGCCCTTGGCCGCAAGACACCCCCTCCGCTCGTCCCGGCACCCCCAGGCAGGGGCGCTCTCAGTGTAGAGCGCCGCCGCAGCTGCTTAGATTCCAGAAGCACGTGTGTGTGTGTGTGTGTGTGTGTGTGTGTGTGTGTGTGTGTGTACGTGCATATGTGTGTGTGAGTGTACGTTTGAGTGTGTATTCCCACCGCAACACAGTGCCAGAGAGAACCTGCGACGGAGCATTGCAGAGACACCGCCCAGCTGGAGGCAGGGGAGCCCCCGACCACACCCCCGGGTGTCTCCTGGCTCTCAGGTCCTTGTCAGAGCGATGGCTAAGGCCTGCTCCGGGGGTACAGCGCCACGGGGGTGGGGGTGGGGGTCTGCAAAACTCTCAGCTCTCCCCGCCAAGCCGGTCGGGTGGAGGGGGCCGATTGCGGTCAGGGTGCAAAAGCAGTTTTCACCTCGCAGCCTCTGCGTTGCTAATAATAAAGGTCTCGTGAAAACAGCTAAGCTAGCACTGCGGGGCCGGGACGCGCCACATGGCCGTGGGAAGCCGGGGATCAATCTTCTCCAAGGAGCCCCGGTTTTCTGGGGTAGGAGAAGAGGGCTGGGAGAGAGCCCTCCCGCCCCCAACGTGGCAAGGTTCTAACGCCCAGTGCTGGCGCGGACGGAGCAAAGGATTCCGCAGCTTCTCCCCTCCTCACCCCCCGCCCCCCCCCCCACCCCCGGTGGCCCTCTCTCGCGGCTGCACCACCGAAAAGCAGGAATTGGGAGAAAATGCGGTGTCACGTTCGCCTCTGTGCCCGCGGACGCGTCTGCGCCAACTCCAGCAACACGTGGGGGGCGAATCTGGGCTGGGGCGGCTGCTGTCTCTCGGCGGGCGGGGGTGCGGGGGTGCTATCTATAGGAGGTTCTAGTAGAACCGCCCCGAAGGGCAGGTCTGGTTCGACCTTGGAGTCTTCAGAACTTTTGCCCCTGGGAATTTGGTCCTGGGTTTGGGCAGAGACCGTTTCCAATCGAGGTCGCCGCGAGGCACTTAGCTCAGGCCAAGGCGCTTTAGAAGTTAAAAGGGGCCCCGGGTGTTCAGTATCTGTCCCCCACTTCGACCAGGCGGTCAACGCGTCTTTCGCCTTCTCCAACAGAGTTTTCCTCCCGGAGTTGACTCTTAGCATTGAACTTGGGGAAATGTGACCGGCTGGTACCTGGGTTTCGGCTGGGCGTGGGGCAGATGAAGGCGAATCTACCCCTAAAAGGGCGTTACCCGTGAAGTGTCTGGTTCAAACGCTACTTCCTTCGAGGATCTAACCCTGGTAAATTGAAGGAGGGAGGGGGAGCAGTATTGGATATAAAAACAAAAGCCTCGCTTCTTCCATATCTCCACCCTTCCCTCTCTCCAAACCGCATAGGTTGGAGAAATGGCAGAGATGAAGTGTAGGTCCGACGGGGGGGGGGGGGGGGGGGGGGGAAATGCTCACTTAAAATAAAGAAAACATAAAACCTCTTTAATAAGAAGGTGGGTTTATCGTCTATTTCCAAGTGTTAATCTTGATATTGGGACGTCAAAATTGGAAGTCAATTGTGACAAGAGGTTCACAGCATACGGCGCACACAGAATTTTCACAATTAAAAATAATGGAATAAACTTCCTTTCCCCTTTGTCTCTCTCTCACACACAGACACATACACACACACACACACACACACACACACACACACCGGAAAGCCACTACATTGACAAGAACTGGGGGTCAGGACGCTGTAAACCACCCCCCCCCCACACACACACCCGCAGGTGTGAGGCTACTTGTTGCTGCTTCACCCCCAGGAGGTCATTTGCCACAGAATCTAGTGCAAACTCAGTAACCACCGCCCTTTTTCAGGAGGTGGGCGCTCCCCCGAGGAGCCCTGGAGGGGCAGGAACACTACTAACTCAATTTCTGGAGAAGAGACATTCATTTTTTTCAAATTGAACTCGGGACCATATTTGCTTGACATGCTTTGTCTTGCACTGGCGTGGCGATTTCTCTGTGCAGTGAAATGCGGCGGCCAGCGCGCGCGCACGCACACGCACGACGGGTCACCTCGGCCCGGCGTAGGGGGTGGGGTGGTGGAGGTGAGTGACAGGTGCTTCGGACTTTCGGTGAGTTCTTTACTCCGAGAAGCAGAACGAGGGTGGGGAGTGGGGGCGGGGGACTCCTCGGAGCTGAATGAGACAGGTAACTCAGAAAGCCCCTCCAGTCACTGTTTTGGAGAGGGAAGAAGGGACCTGAAGTCCCGGCCCCGTCCCTGGGCGCGCCAACAACGCGGGCCAGAGGACTGGCGGGGTTGGAGGGCAGCATATACCCGACAAGGGTGGGCGGGTTCCCAGGATTCCGAGTTCATTGTCTCCCGGGCACGCTCTGTGGGGATTTTCGCCACCCCGAGAGGGCCAGAAAGACACTCTGTATCGGTGCAGGCCCTAGCCCCTCGCCGGAGAGGGAACCGGGAAGGCGAGGTTCGGTCTCAGCCGCGCTCGGTGGCCGCGGAATCCTACACCCCTTTGCCTTCAGCGTCCTCCCGCGGCTCGGTCCCGGCTTTGCGGAGCCGAATCGAGCCAGGAGCAACTCACTGTGGGTCTGGAGCTACCAGCAGGTTCTTCGGCGGCGACGAGCTTCCTGGGCTGGGGGCTCAGGGGAGGGAGCGGTAAAAAGAGTGAAGAATTTGTGCATTTTAAACCAACCAAACCATCCAGTGCAGCTGGCAGTGTCGGGTGCTTTCACAGCGGTAGGGATGCTGAGACGTGTGGGCGTGGGCGGGGGCAGGGGTTCATGACGGGGTCCACTACCACAACGCGGGTTAGACCCATTGCAAAGACTCCCCTGCCTCGGGTCGCGATCCCCGGGGCTGGAGCGGGACGAAGGCGTCGCCGCCGCGTTCACGGCCACTTGCCCGCATTATGACACCTGCGGTGGCCCTGCCACTCCCGTGTCCCCTAGGCCAGCCCCCTCCGCTGCTGCAGCGGGGAAGCTGCCCATGTCCATGTCCACCCTCGCCCCTGATCACCGACCCCCTTTCACACCCGGGACCGACAGAGCGCGTTGCTAGAACCGCAGTGCGCCTAGATGCCACCTCGCCGCGCCCCGCCACCGCCTCGGCGCGCCTCTGCGGCAGCCGGGCCACAGCCTTCCCGCGTCCCCCGCCCCGCCCGCGCGGCCACGCCTCGGCCGCGTCCCCCTCCCCGCACCCACACCACCGCCTCCGCCGCGCACACCGCACACACCGCACACACAGCAGCCTGCCTTCCCCCGCGCTTGCCGCGCCAACCCCGCGGGAGCCGGTAGAGGCTGGGATTCGTGCGCCCGCGTGGGTGTGCGGGCGTCGGGGAGCGTCCACGACGGCCACTTGTCATCCCGCTGCTCGGGGTCCACGCGTGTGCCTCCCCCCGCCCCCCACTGCCTCGCAGGTCCCCGGCGCCCATCTGTCTCCGGAGCTCGTCTGCCAGAGCAAGCGCTCCCAGCCCTGCGGAGGTCCCAACGGTGTCTCTTGGTCCGGGTCCTTAACCGCTCCCGGGTCAGGGCTGGACCAGGAGGAAAACCCCTAGGCGCCCCCGCCCCTCCCGCACCTCAGCCTTCCCGGGACAGAGCCACGGGACTTCCCGCAAGAGTGGGAAAGAGACCGAGGCCCAGCCCCGGGCGGACGCGCGCGTGAAGAGCGCCTCCAGGCGCCTGGCCTCGGCTGGTTCTCTGTCGCTGTGCGGCCCGCTGGGGGCAGAGCTGGGCCTACGGGGCGCGGCCCTGACGGTGCAGGCCCCCCACCCGCTGTTTCCCCAGTGCAGAAACCCGGCACAGCACTGCGGGAAGGAGGCCGCGGCGCGGGTGTCTCCACGTCCACGTGCCCTGTGTGTGCGCGCCCCGGGCCTGCAGATGCTCCCCAGCTGGTACCCTGAGGAATCCCTGGGTCGCCTCGCTGCACTCGGGGGTCTGCTAGGCTTCTCTGCCGCAGCAGCAGCCAAGACAGGAGCCGCCTCTGCCAGCCTGACTTCCCCGCTACTGGCAGCTACCCAGAGGCCGCATCCCCGCCCCCATCCCGCACTCACCGCATCCCCTGCTCCGTGGGTTCATTCACTGCACCAGACTTTTCCGCCGCTGCCCCACATCTCCTGGAGGCGCAGCAGGAGGGCGTTCCCCAAGACGCCGGCACCCTTGTTCCATCCTTCCCTGACTCTCTTCAGCAGCCTGCCACCCTTCCTGACAGTAGGGAAGACAGGGCTCTTGCTCCCCCAGTGTTACACGTCTGTTACCCTAGTACCATCCCCCACCGCTCTCCCATACACACACCTGAGCCTGGCCACCACCACGGTCTGCCTTTCTGGAACTCCTAATTCCAACACTAAGCAGCGCACACCACGTCGCTGACAGCAAGGTGAGGGAGTGGCACTCAGTAACTGGAGGGTGGTTTCTCAAATGGTATAAAA